TTAAGAAGTTGGGAAAAAAGGGATATATGGCAAATTATAGACCCTTGGATTTATGTTTTCTTGTTAGTTTTCAAATTATAGTTTTCTTGTTGTATTTTTGGCAAATTGTGTCTCTAATAATCAAATCTTCTTGATAACGCCCATTAAACATACTTTGTATAAACCCATGATCAGACACTCTTGCTCTATTAGTCGATTTTACCATTAAAGTAATCAACTTAATTTTGTTAGGTACAACTTACTTGTTAAGACTAAAAAAATCTAGGATGATTTTGAGGTTTTCAAAGAGTGAACACTAATTAAAAAAAATGTTTTCTAGATTCTTTTTCAACTTATCTTTAATAAGAATCTAAAAAACTTGAAAGAAAGAAAGAAAAAACTGTCACTACACTTTAAACCTATAGGTCATTGGAAAGTAGCTACTTCCCATGTGAATCAACAAAAAAAAGAAAAAAAGAACCAAGAGTCATTGGAAAACCCTTAAATCCGTTCATCTTTAAATCTTTAAACGTTACTTAACTTTTTCTATGCAATCAAAAACCCATGAAAATTCTATGAACAAGAAGAATCTCACATTCATCGTGTTTCTTTCTTCACACTCTCTCTTTCTTACCAAACACAATGATCATGACCATTACTACTTCTCTCTTCTTGTTTCTCTCTTTACTTGTTCTCTCTTGTTTTCTCCAAGTTTCTTCTAATGGAGACGCTGAGATTTTAACCCGGGTCAAAAAGACCCGACTTTTCGACCCGGAAGGAAAGTTACAAGATTGGGTCATTACCGGAGATAAACGGAGTCCGTGTAATTGGACGGGAATCACATGCGACGTCACAAACGGTGGTTTCGTCTCCGTCACGGCGATTGATCTCACCGGTTATGGAATCTCCGGTGAATTTCCTTACGGATTCTGCCGTATTCGTACGCTCGTCAATATCACTCTTTCTCAAAACTATCTCAACGGTACGATAGACTCTGTTCCACTCTCCCTTTGCTCTCGGATTCAGGTTTTGATTCTTAACGTAAACAACTTCTCCGGGAAGTTACCGGAATTTTCGCCGGAGTTTCGTAGTTTACGAGTCCTTGAATTGGAATCAAACTCGTTCTCCGGCGAGATTCCTGAGAGTTACGGGAGATTTACAGCTTTGCAAGTTTTGAACCTTAATGGCAACTCGCTCAGTGGAATCGTTCCGGCGTTTTTGGGTTATCTCACTGAGTTGACTCGTCTTGAACTAGCTTACATCGGATTCGAGCCTGGTCCGATTCCGGTTACGTTTGGGAATCTGACGAAGCTGAGTTATCTCCGATTAACTCACTCAGGACTCGTCGGAGAAATTCCTGATTCGATATGGAATCTGGTTTTGCTCGAGAATCTGGATTTAGCAATGAATTGTCTCACCGGAGAAATACCTGGAAGCATCGGAAAACTCAAATCGGGTTATCAGATTGAGCTTTACGATAATCAGTTATCCGGAAAATTGCCAGAGAGTATCGGAAATCTAACCGCTCTGAGGAATTTCGATGTCTCGCAGAATAATTTCACCGGTGAATTACCGAAGAAGATCGCCGCGTTACAACTCATCTCCTTCAATCTCAACGACAATTTCTTCACCGGAGAATTACCAGAGGTTATAGCTTTGAATCCTAATCTAGTCGAATTCAAGATCTTCAACAACAGTTTCACAGGAATTTTACCTCGGAATCTCGGGAAATTCTCTGAGTTATCTGAATTCGACGTCTCGACGAACAAGTTCACCGGTGAATTGCCGCCGGATCTCTGCTACAAGAAGAAACTTCAGAAGTTAATCAGTTTCAGCAATCAATTGACCGGGAAAATTCCGGAATCTTACGGCGATTGTCGTTCGCTCGATTACATCAGAACGGCGGATAACAAACTCTCCGGCGAAGTTCCGGTCAAGTTTTGGGAGCTTCCTCTGACTCGTCTCGAGCTATCAAACAATCAATTACAAGGTTCGATTCATCCTTCGATATCCAACGCTCGTCATCTATCTCAGCTCGAAATCTCCGGTAACAACTTCTCCGGCGCGATTCCCGTCAAAATCTGTAATCTCGGTGACTTAAGAGTCATCGATCTAAGCCGAAATCGTTTCTCAGGATCGATTCCGTCTTGCATTAACCGATTGAAGAAGCTAGAAAGAGTGGAGATGCAAGAGAACTTACTCGACGGGGAGATTCCGAGCTCGATGAGTTCATGCACCGAGTTAACCGAGTTGAATCTCTCGAATAACCGATTACGCGGCGGAATACCACCGGAACTCGGTGAGTTACCGGTTTTAAACTATCTAGATCTCTCTAACAACCAACTCACCGGTGAGATTCCGCCGGAGCTTTTGAAGCTGAAGCTAAACCAATTCAACGTCTCCGATAACAAACTCTACGGTAAAATCCCTTCTGGTTTTCAACAAGATATTTTCCTACCGACTTTCTTGGGTAACCCGAATCTTTGTGGCCCGAATTTGGATCCGATTCGACCTTGTCGATCCAAACCCGAAAGCCGGTACATCCTCGTTATATCCGTACTCTGTATCGTTGCACTAACCGGAGGTTTGGTTTGGCTCTTTATCAAAACCAAACCGTTATTCAAGAGAAAACCGAACGGGGTAAACAAAGTAACCGTTTTCCAACGGGTTGGTTTCACTGACGAAGACATATACCCACAGTTAACCGAAGATAACATAATCGGGTCGGGTGGGTCGGGTTTGGTTTACAGAGTGAAACTCAAATCAGGTCAAACGCTCGCGGTGAAGAAACTATGGGGAGGACCGGGTCAAAAACCCGAATCCGAATCAGTATTCAGATCCGAAGTTGAGACGTTGGGTCGGGTTAGACATGGTAACATTGTGAAGCTTCTCATGTGTTGCAACGGCGAGGAGTTTCGGTTCTTAGTGTACGAGTTCATGGAAAACGGCAGTTTGGGTGACGTTTTGCATTCGGAGAAAGAACATCGTGCCGTTTCTCCACTTGATTGGACGACGCGGTTTTCGATCGCCATTGGTGCTGCTCAAGGACTTGCTTATCTACATCATGACTCTGTTCCGGCGATTGTTCATCGTGACGTCAAAAGCAATAACATATTGTTGGATCATGAGATGAAGCCACGTGTCGCCGATTTCGGTTTAGCTAAACCGTTGAAGAGAGAAGATAATGATGGTGTTTCCGATGTTTCGCTGATGTCTTGTGTTGCTGGATCCTACGGCTACATTGCTCCGGGTTAGAATTCTCTACTTTACTCTTTCATTTCTAACCGAATGGAACCAAACAAAAATTACTTAAACCGCTATATCGAACCGGAATTTATATTAAACCAATATGAGCATTGTTTGAATTCTATATTGTTTGTTTTGGTGTGGTTGCAGAATATGGTTATACGTCGAAAGTGAATGAGAAGAGCGATGTTTATAGTTTCGGTGTAGTGTTACTCGAATTGATAACCGGAAAAAGACCAAACGATTCGTCTTTTGGAGAGAACCAGAACATTGTTAAGTTTGCAATGGAAATAGCTTTATGTTACTCTTCTTCATCACCTGAAGACGAAGCCATGAATCGCGATTCACGTGGGAATTATCGAGATCTTAGCAAGCTGGTGGATCCAAAGATGATACTTTCCAATAGAGATTATGAAGAGATAGAGAAAGTTCTTGACGTTGCGTTGCTATGTACGTCGTCGTTTCCGATTAATAGACCGACCATGAGGAAAGTGGTAGAGTTGCTCAAAGAGAAGAAGTCAGTAGAGTGATGCGGTTCTACTGATATACTATATTAATCCTAGGCTTTGTTTTAGGTTGTATAATTCACAAAATCCAACTCTTCAAAGTTTGAGCTTTTAGAAAAAGTTTACTAGTTTTTTAAAATCATAAACAACTAATTATTATTTTCTCTTGCTTATTGAGAAGGCAACTTTTTATGCCTATCAAAATTAAATCTAGAGGAAAATCCTCCTGTTGCATCCTTTTTTTTTTTTTTTGTCATTTTCTCTTCAACATAAAAAATAACTAATTTCGTAAAATTTTTAGCAAGATGTCTTACATAATTTAAATATTCTTTTACCAAATAATTCTTTAGTTTCTCTCTCTAAAAACCTCTTCTTCTGAAAAGCTTCCAGATCTAAGTGTGATTCTCTGGCCGGCGGCGTGGGCTTTCACAGCCAAGTCGTCGGACCGGTTTACTTTTCGTTTATGTTTTTATCTTAGTTTCCGGCTTGATCCGGTTTTGTTTTCCGGCTTTGTCCGGGACGGATCTCCGACTTGTTCGGTTTTGTTTCGTTTTTTCTTTTGTATCCGGTCAGTTTAGGCCGATGTTGTCGGGTTTCGATCTCATCCCCTATATGCTTCATTCCGTCGTCTACACCGTTTTTCTCCTTCATTACTCTTGGATTTTTTCCAATTGTTTGTGGAGTAATATCTTCATCACTTTCTTATCCTTTTGCTCAAGACGCAGGAGCAATTTAGGGTCTCAGATTACATCAGTGTATTGGGTATAACCGGTGATGGAGCTTCCCTGGAATTGGTGATTTTTGGAGAGTTTTTGAAGCGATTCTAAGGATTGATTCGGTTGTTTATCGGCGCTTCTAATGATGGGTTATGGGATCGGCAAAAGGGATAAGGCTTCCCATCGCTACAGGGATGATTGGTGGCGGCTAATCGGAGTTCGCGGTGGCGGGGGACTGTTCACGGCGGAGCTTCTGGGTAGATCGCGTGGCGTCGAGAAGATGTCCTCTTTTCTTACACGTGTTTTTTATTGGGCTGGACTGTTTCCTCGGTTGGGCTTTATTTCTTTTGTAATTATGCCCATTGGGCTTGTTTAATAAAATGAAATTGCCGACCAAAAAAATTGTCAATCTAAACATTTAATTAAATAATTTCTGTGGCATTTAAAAAAGAAAAGAATATGGTATTGGACAGTTAGATTAGGCCCATTATATATAAACAGGCCTGTTGTTTCTCATAGGCCTTATTACTTTCGTTTACTCCAATTTAGGGTTTCAGAGACGACCACGTCGCCTCTGTCACGAAACCGCCAGTGACGCTATCATTTTCACCTATTCGCATCTTTTCTCTTAACCTCAC